GCCAAAAACCAACATATCGTTGACTTTGATCTTTTCGATTTGAGTCAAATTTTTTCACCGTTTTAAACCCTTCAAAAAAAAAAGGCTTCATGATTTCTTTTTAAATTTTTTCATCAAACCGTTTACGAGATATCAGGGTGAATAACGACTTGGAATTTCTTGATAACCTGGAAAAGTCCTTGAATTTTATTTTTACCTGGAAAAGTTCTTGAATTTTTCATTTGGTCCTGGAATTTCCTATTTTGTGTTAAAAAATTTTTTCCAACTATTTTTAGAAACACAAAATTTGGTAAAATAAAAAATATATTCGACTTTTTTCAATACTATTTTCGACTCATTTTAATAAAATATTACTTTTTCAACTTTTTTAAAATACTTTCTAAACAAAATACAACCTTTTTCGTATAAAATTTACATCTTCCAAAACTAAATTATTAAATGAATATTAACTAGAATTCTTCGCAAAATTAATTATATTTAATAATTTTAATCAAATTTTTTAAAAACTCTATTATTTAAAATATTTTTTAAATGAAAGTTCTTTTAAATTCAATATTATTGTCTACATTTTGTAAAAAAAAAAAAAAAAAATCATTAATTAAAATTTATGAAAGTTTCGATTTAAAATCTCCTGAAATTCAATTATTTATAAAAATTTAAACTTCAAATCTTCAAAAATTCAAATATTTCTAAAATTCTTAGGAAAATTAATTATTTTTAATAAATTTAATCAAAATTTTCGAAAATTTTAATTTTTTTTAAAAATTGTTTAATTTAAAATTTTTTAAAATTCAATTACTATTATCAAAAACTTATAAAAAAATCTTTAGCAATTCAAATTTACAAAAATTTTATTTTTAAAATCTTCGCAAATTCATTTACTTGTATAAATTTCAACTGCAACTTTTTCAAATTTCAATTTTTTTTTATTTTTTTTTATATTCATTTTTTTCAATAATATTTTAATTAAGTTCTTCGAAAATTTCATTATTTAAAACATTTTCTAAACTTTTAAGTTCGAATAATTTGCATAAAGCAGATTAGAGAATTAATAAAACTTATTTAATTTCTATTAACAATTGTTGGATAATAATAATAATAAAATTTTTTACTATTATTTAAATCATTTTTTCAATTTAAAAATTGTCTAAAATTCAATTATTGTCTGAAGCTTATAAAGAAAAACCTTTTGCAATTCATAACAAAAGTTTTTATTAAAAATCTCATGAAATTCAATTATTTCTAAAATTTGTTTCTAAATTGTAAATTAATTATTTTAATAACTTTTATTAATTTTTTTCAATAATTAAATTATTTATTAATTATTTAATTCTCTAAAATTCAATTATTTTTCAAAAATTTTGTTAATAATTTTCATTAATTCAAAATTTACAAGAATTTCAATTATTTTCAACTTAAATTCATTGTTGAATTAATTATTTCTAAAAGCTAATCTATTTATTCAAAAATTCAATTATTTTAAACATTTTCTTAATTAAAATTTTTCTAAAATTCCATTACTATTTAAAATATTTGCCGAAATTTCGGAATTCGAATAATTTTTATAAATTAAAATTAAATTTTCTTTAAAAAAAAAATTGAACTAAATAATTTTTTCAAAAATTTGTCCTATTAAATTGAAATCTTGAAAATTTGTCTCAATTTAATTTTAAAATTTATTCTAAATAGAAATTTTTTGAAAATATTTCTATGAAACATTTTTATTGTAAATTAACTAAAACGAGTTATTCAATAGATTTCGTATTAAAATACTTTATAAAATTTAATAAATATCTAAAAATTTTTGATACGTAGAGAATTATTTCACTACATTTCGATTAAGGTCGTAAAATAATTTAAAAAAATTTTTTTAAATAATTTTGTAAGATACCGTGGATGTCCCAGTTACCGTCCACCTAAGACCTAGTTTCCGTCCAGTTTAATTTTCAAAATAACATTTATAAAAAAATTATTTTCTTTTATTTGTTTACTTAAACTAATAAGTCGATTGTGTGCCAAAAGGAATAAATTATTGTTAAAAAATAATTTAAATTACTATACGAGATATTTGTAAAATGGACGGAAACTGGGACATGGACGGTAACTGGTACATCCACGGTATTTAGAGTAAATTTTTAATCAAAAATAAAATTTCATATACAGAATATGTTTCCGAAACTTTTGATTCAGGAAATGGATTAAATTTAATAAAAAAAAATTTTCTCTATCAGATATTTTAAACTTTTTTACTATAAATTAATTTTAAAATGAAAATTCTATTAAGAAAGAAATTCTTGAAATAATAGCCTCCAAGAGTTAACAAAAGAAAGTGTGATGATATTAATTAAAAAACCTCAGTTTCACTAATTATGTAATAATAAAATACTTGGTCTGTCCTTCTGTCCTAACTTGAAGTTGGCCTTTTCTGATTTCACGTGTTTTTTTGAATAGTAATCTTATGACGTGTCAAATTTTCACAATTCTTTTTCTCATTTTTGCCAAAGTTGTATAATTGTGTTTCCAAATTTCGGAATAAGTTTCTTTAAAATTCCAAATTCGAAAATTCAATTCACGAAGCTGAAGTACACAACGTTTACCAACGAAATTTTTTTTAAAGTTGTATATTGATTCAAAAATTGTATACAAATACAAAAAATTTATGATGAGAAAAAAGATGCGCCAGGAAATTTCGTACAAGATAGTAATTTGAAAAAAAATTTATTTTTAAGGTACCAGGGGCCAACGAATACCTATTAAATATTAATTATAAAAACACAGGCCTCGAATCAACTTAAAGACACAAAAAAGTCGTTTTAGTCGATTTATATTCCAAAAAAAAGTGGATTTGTTTTTTATTTTAACAAAAATATTTTACAGATTTTTAAATAAAAATTTTTTTTTTTAATAATCCTTTTCGAAGGGTTAAAGTTGAAATTTTTAGAAATAATTAAATTTCAAAAGATATTGTTAATTTTCAAACAATTATTAAATTTTACAGAACTAAAAATAATTTATCAAACAATTTTTGGAAAACATTTTTTAAATTTAATTGAATTTTCAAAGATTTAAAATTGAGATTTTTGAAATTAATTCAAACTTTAAGTGATTTTTAATTAAAATTTGAGATGATTTCACTAAAAATTTATTAGAAAATGCGGACAAAATAAAATAATTTGAAAATCATTTTTAATTGAAAAATAGTTTCAGATAGTTGAATTTTCAAAGAATATTATTAAAATAGTTAAAAATAATTGAATTTCCTTAGAGTTATAATTAAAATTATTAAATTTCAAAAAAAAAATTTCCATGGAAAATTTTAGAAATAATTAAATTTTAGATGCTTTTAAATTCAAATTATTGAAAATTCAATTAATATTGAATTCAAATTTTTGAGAATAATGAAATTTAATTTGATTTTAAATTTGGAAAATAATTGTAATTCAGTTCATTTTGAATTGGAAATTTTGGGAAATAATTTAATTTAAGTTCATTTTTGATTGAAAATTTGGATAATTTATTTTGAATAGAAATTTTAGAAAATAATTGAATTTTATTTCATTTTAAATTGAAAACTTGGTAAATAATTAAATTTTAAATTTAAAATTTTGGATAATTATTGGATTTTTAATTGATTTTTAATTAAAATTTCAGGTAATAATTGAATTTTAGTTTATTTTGAATTGAAATTTTTAAAAAATAATTCAATTTTATTGTGGTATTTTTTTAAAATTATAAACAATTGTTAAATTTCATAAAAATTTTATTTGAAAAATAATTTTGATATAATTGAATTTGTGAACGTATTTCATTAAAATTATTAAAAATAATTAATTTAATGAAGAATCATTTTAGTTCAAAATTTGTTAAATAATTGAATTGAAGAAAATCTGAAGAAGATCTATATTTTATACTAAAAAAATGTATTTTATTTACATTTTTTTTCAAATGTAAAAAAAAATGTCGCATTTTATTAAAATAAGTCGATAAAAGTCGTATTTTTGAAAAAAGTCGGAAAAAGTCGTATAATCCGAGGCTTGTAAACATATAATTTTCATTATTATCATTTAATATGTAATAATATTCTAATAAATTAAATTATAAATTGATATTATTAATCTTTAATTTCTTTATAACAAACAATTAAATACTTAATTTGGCACGCTTGCGCGCGTTTAATTTGGCCAGTTTTTGAATAAAAAATTATAAAATATGTTTTCGCAACACAAAAATACCTCAAAGCTGTATTAAATTTGTGGTTTAGTCTATAAATTAACCCTTTATCTTTACTTATGTAATTTTCATAGTACTCTAAAAGTACTCTATTTTTAAATTTTCAGTCCCCTATTTTCCCTAAAATATTTTTTTAGTATCACTATGAAGCGTTTATTAAGGCCAAATGACCCTAATAATTTTATTAATTAATAAACTAATAATTTTTAATTTCAGGTGGTGAAGAAAATGGTGTCTGAAATATCTTCGGTGCCAGGCATTTCCCGCGTGCTGTATGATTTGACGTCTAAACCACCAGGTACCACCGAATGGGAGTAGTGAACATTAAAAATTCATGCCCGACTTATCTGTTTCTATTTTTTCACCACCCTCGCGCGTAACATCTAACAAAAAAAAAAAAAAAAAAGTGAAAAAGAACTATTTATGAAATATACATATTATATATATTATATATATATATATACAGAACACGTAATGAAATTGAGGTTAAATGACTTCTTATTGTTTATAACAAATTTATAAATCAAGATTCGTTTCAATTTGACAAAAAAACTGCACTTATACACATGTACGTCATTTGCGCTCTTTTTAAAAAGAATGAAAAAAAGTAAAAATCCGGTGGTATTGTGTTCAATAAAAAAAAAAAAGGTGGCAGGTAAGTATATCATGTTTGCTTGTAAATATATTCGTTTTTAGATAAATTGTAAAAAAATATTAATTTATTTTATCTCTCTCAAAAAAAAAAAAAAAAAAAAAACAAAAAATAAAACCCGAAGGTTAACATATATTGTCACTCCTGCACTTGTGAAGATTGCATCTGATCGTTGGTATCATTAGACTGCTCTTATACTCGATTTGCATATAATGTTGAACATGCTCCACTATTTTTCTGTATGCCTCATGCCAAACGCAATTTCCAGATTCTGTTATACATCTAAATGAGAAGGAAACAATTGATGTAATTTTTTGATCATGATACCATGTTTCTTTTTTTTAAAAAATTACAAAAGAAAAAAGACCCTCAATCTCCATAAGTGTTCTTTTTATAAACTTCCGTTGCAAAAAAAAAAAAAGAAAAATTTTCTAAACTCATGACATTTTCTCACCTGTGCATGCATTTTAATAAAATATGTAGATCCTCAATCAATTTTTTTCCTGGAAGCATGCTCAAATATGTGGCTAGTGATAAAATGTCTATTTCATTTACAAACACCGAATTGGAAACCCAACTTTGTATCTGCATTCTGATCTGCAATTTTTATATAAAAAAATTCGTTACGTGTGAGAAGAAAAAAATACTCTTACTTAAAAAAAAAAAAAAAAAGGAAAAAAATACCGTTAATTAAAAAAAATACTCTCTCTTTTTAATTAAGGCATGTGTAGATAGCAGAGCATTAAAAAAAAACAACAAAAATAAACATTAATATTAAATAAAAAAAAAAAATTATTAATAAATTAAATTTATTACCTGATCAGTTGACAGATCAAACATACATTTAACAAGTGCGCTCAACGCTTTCTCTTGACCTTGACTTTTCACATCATTGTCAGAAAATGATCTTACGTGTGAAATTATAGCAATCATTTCTCTGTCTTCGTCTTCTTGTTTTTTATCCATATTTAAAATATTTTCTTCTTCTTCTTTTTCTTCTCTGAATATTTGTTGAATTTTTTTTTCTTCAATTTCATTACGAATTAGCGGCATTGAATTACTTTTATAAACAGTATTTTTTGGTTTTCTACCTCTTTTTGATTTTAAATTTCCCTTTGATTTTGTTGAAATAATTTTTTTCTTTTCGGCATTATTTTTTTCACGTCTTTTAATCATACAAAACATTTTTACATCATCTTTCATGTCGTCTGGTAAGGCTGCTAAAAATTCGGGATCAACTTGTGAAAATGAAAAATCTCTCTCGTCAGTTAAATAATTTGATGTTTTGTGAAATTTTGTTTCAATATTATTTGATTTTGAAATCTCATCGTTTGATTTAATTTTGGTCAATGGTGGGGTTTCAGATTTTTTGTTAGATTTATATTCGTTTAGAATTTCATTTCTTATATCCTCAGGCAATTCTACAAGAACGGACATGTCCACTTCTTGAAGTGGTGGCAATTCAGCTTTTCCCCTTGGAATATTTTTTCTCTCTTTAAAATATGACTCTTGTTTTGTTTGAATTATTGTTTTTGTCGAACCTTTAGATTTCTCTTTTTTTTCAATTTCATTGGTTTTTGATTTAATTGACTTGCTGCTGGCTTCAATTTCTTTTCTAATATCTTCGGGCAATTCATTTAAAATTGAATCATCAATTTCTTGCGATGGTAAAATTATTTTATTCTCAAAAGAAGAGGAAGAAGATTTAGTTTGAAAATTAGATTTTTTAGAAATTGTTTCATGATTTATGAGTTTGGGAATATTTTTTGTTTCATTTGAATCGATCTTATTTTTGTTAGATTCTAAAATTTGTTTTGATTCATTAATGTTCGTTTCAGAAATTGATTGTTTGGCTTTTTTAATGAAATTCACCAAACAATTAGTGTTTGACTTGTGTTTCATTATTTCGAGTCTTGATATTTGAATTCCAATACCTCGAATATCTTCTGGTGTTTGTTGCATTTGATTCCATAGACTAAGAATTTCTCTGGAAAAAATAGTTTTTATTTGATATACAAATAAAATTCAAACTTAATTTTTTAATTTTAAATCCTTTGAATAATAAAAGAAAAATATAACAGTACATAATTTCCTCATATTTTTTAAAAAAATATCAAAATTTATGAATTTTTAAATAAGGAAATTACAATCTTACTTCGATTGTACAATACTATTGCGATTGCTAATTACAATATAATTTTATTTTCAACATAATTAATGAAATAAATTATAAATTAAATATAAACAATATTTATATTATTATTCTTACAAAATAAAAATATAATATTTTTATAATTATATCGAAAAATAATTTCACAATAATTGTTTCAAAAATTCACAAAAGATTCTCATAATTTTATTTTAAAGAAATAATTAAAAAAAAACACTTTTTTTCCGACTTTTTTGACTTATTTTAATAAAATGCAACTTTTTAGACTTTTTTTTTACATTTAAAAAAAAATTTAAACAAAATACGTTTTTTTAGTACACAATGCAGATCTTCTTTATTTCAATTATTTAACAAAATTTTAACTAAAATTCTTCACTAAATTCATTATTTTTAATAATTTTAATGAAATTCTTCACAAATTCAATTATCTTAAACTATTTTTCAATTAAAATTTTTATGGAATTTAATAATTGTTTATAATTTTAAAAAAATTAGCAAATAAAATTATCAAAAAATTTTAATTCAAAATCACTTTAAATTTAATTATTTCAATTATTTTTAATGATTTTTATAAAAAAAATGAAGAAATTTTTTTTTTTTTTTCTTCGAAAATTCAATTATCTGAAAGCATTTTTCAATAAAAAACTTTTGGAATTCAATTTTTTATGTAATTTCTAATTAATTCTTCATCAACAGAAATCACTAGAAATTTCTACTATTATAATTATTGTCTGAAATTTAACACAATCTTTTAAAATTCAATTATTTTAAAAAATTTCAATTTAAAAGCTTCTAAAATTTACTTAATTATTTCTACAATTTTTTGATATTTAATAATTTCACTTATAACTATACTGAAATTCAATTATTTTTAATGATTTTTATAATATTCTTCGAAAATTCAACTATCTGAAACCATTTTTCAATTAAAAATGATTTTCAAATTATTGTATTTTTGTCTGCAATTTCTAATAAATTTTTTAGTAACAAACACCATTTTTAACTAAAATTCTTCACTAAATTAATTATTTTTAATAATTTTAATGAAATTCTTCACAAATTCCATTATCTTAAACTATTTTTCAATTAAAATTTTTATGAAATTTAATAATTGTTTATAATTTCAAAAAAAGTTAGCAAATAAAATTACCAAAAATTTTTAATTCAAAATCACTTAAAATTTAATTATTTGCAAAAATTTCAATAATTTTTCATGATTTTTATAAAATTCTTTGAAAATTCAATTATCTGAAAGCATTTTTCACTTAAAAAGATTTCAAACTATTGTATTTTTGTCTGCTATTTCTAATAAATTTTTTAGTAACAAAAATCATAAAAAAATTTTAATTAAAAATCACTTGAAGTTCAATTAATTTCAAAAATCTAAATTGTAAATCTTTGAAAATTCAATTACTTTTAAAAAATGTTATTTAAAATTATTTGATAAATTATTTTTAGTTCTGTAAAATTTAATTATTATCTGAAAATTAACAAAATAAAAATAAATAAATTTATATATATATATAAATAAATAAATAAATAAAATCTGTTGAAATTCAATTATTTCTAAAAATTTCAACTTTAACTCTTCCAAAATTATTATTTAAAAAATTTTTTTTTTAAATCTATAAAATTTGATTAAGTATTGCCTGAAATTTTTTTGACCATCAAAACTAAAAATTATATACAATTGAATGCAAATAAATGTGCAAATGGAATTTTTCGATTATTACATAATATTTTTTTTTAGTTTTTTTAAAAAAGACAAATTCTGACATTCGACTTTAAAAAACAAAAAAAATTAATTTTTGATTTACCTATTTTTTTTTCTAAAAATTTAATGAAAATTGAAACATACTTGGTAATAATTGTTTGTTCATCAACAGCGGCAATAAAATTCTTTGATTTAGTAAAATAATCACAAAGTCCATGACCCATAAATTTGGCTGTTTCTTTGGGTGCTTCTTTAGCACGAACCATTAATTTTAAAGTTAAACATCTTCCCTTTGCATTTGCATTTTTAAGACGTGTACAAATTTCCAAAGATAATTTCTTTAAAAATTCTTCAGCATCCAAATGATTTTCAAAACGAATTCCATAATTTACTTCGGCAGAGACAGATTTTCTCACATGTTCCATATTTAATTTTGAATTATCAATTCCTCGACACATATTGTACAATAATTCACCAGTTTTCTTTCCAAATTCTTTTTGCAAATATGTAATTTCAAATGTTTGAAGATCTAAACATGTTTTCACTTGCATTGCATTTAATTTACTTGTCGTTGAATAACCAACACCTAAATAAAATTAATATAATAATTTTTAAAAAATAAATAAATAATGAAAAAATTAGAAAATTTTTTTATAAAACAATAAAGAAAATCCATAAATAATTTACATATGATTTTTGGACAATAATTAATTTTTTCTTTATGTTCAACTTTTCTAGACTAATCAACAATTCTTTTTATGGACAATAAATAATAGACAATCAAATGTAAAGAAAAAATTTTTATTGATGGTTCGAAATTTGGGCAAATTAAATTTTAGATAAATTGAAACGGATTATTTGTAAATTAAATCAATTAAAATTTGGATAATTTTAAACTTAAGTTAATTAAAATTTGGGTAAATTCTAAATTGTATTCTTTGGTAAAAAAAAAAATTGAAATTCGGATAATTTGTATCTTAAATCAATTAAAATTTGCATTAATTACAATTCGGATAATTTTAGATTACAATCAATTAAAATTTCGATAAATTTAGACTTCAATCATTGAAATTTAGGAAAATTGGATAATTTTAAACTTAAATCAATTAAAATTTGTACAAATTGAAATTTGGGTAAATTAAAATTGAAATCAATCAAATTCAAATAAATTGAAATTCGGATAATTTAAATTTTAAATCAATTAAAATTTTGGGAAAATTGAAATTCAAATAATTTTTAACTTAAATCAATTGAAGTTTGAACAAATTAAAATTCGGATAATTTGCAATTTGAATTCCTTAAAATCTGAATAAAATAAAATTTAATTAAATTGATATTTGGATGAATTAAAATTTGAGAAAATTCAAATTTGGATAAATTGAATTTTAGATTGACCGAATGAATTTAAATGTATAACGATTACAATTTTTATTAAATTTATTAATTTGTTGTAAATAATTTTTCAAATTGATGAAAGATTTCGATAAATTCAAGAAAAAGTCAATTGAATCATTTATAAAAAACAAAAATGAAAATCTGTAAATTATTAAAATAGTTGACAAAATTTTTTAAATAAGTGAAGAAGGTAAATATATAATAACGTAGAATTCTTTATACAGGCAAAAATTGTTAAAACTTTTTTACACAAACAGAAAGTATACAATTGACTTTGTAAATTTATTCAATTTTCCACAATTTCCCTATAAACAATTTTTTTTTCCTGTCAAAATATTTTTCCCTAACTTATTATTACTTTCAGTTTATAAAAAAATTAAATATTATGAAAATAGTGGAATTTACCAAAAAAAAAATGTATTAAAAATAATAATTTAATTGTAAAATAATTGAATTTTACAATAATTATGAAAATATAACATTTTAAAATAATTGAAATATAATTGTTTAAATAATAATATAATTATAATAAATATGGAATTGATTATTAAAAAACGTAACAATTTTTTTTAAACATAAAATTTCAATTTTTCTTTAATCAATTTTTTTTTAAATATATTGATATTTTTCATTAGTGATTTAATAGTGTTAATTAATTTTTAAATAAATTTTTTAATTTATTAGAATATTATTACATATTAAATGATAATAATGAAATTAATTAATTATTATTAATTTTTAATTAATTTTAATTAATTATTAATTTTTTCAAAAATACGACTTTTATCGACTTATTTTAATAAAATGCGAAATTTTTTTTACATTTGAAAAAAAATGTAAATAAAATACATTTTTTTAGTATAAAATGTAGATCTTCTTCAGATCTTCTTCAATTCAATTATTTAACAAATTTTGAACTAAAATGATTCTTCACTAAATTAATTATTTTTAATAATTTTAATGAAATACATCACAAATTCAATTATATCAAAATTATTTTTCAATTAAAATTTTTATGAAATTTAACAATTGTTTATAATTTAAAAAAAAATATCACAATAAAATTGAATTATTTTTTAAAAATTTCAATTCAAAATAAACTAAAATTCAATTATTACCCAAAATTTTAATTCAAAATCAATTCAAAATCCAATAATTATCAAAAATTTTCAATTTAAAATTTAATTATTTACCAAGTTTTCAATTTAAAATGAAATAAAATTCAATTATTTTCTAAAATTTCTATTCAAAATTAATTATCCAAATTTTCAATCAAAAATGAACTTAAATTAAATTATCCAAAATTTCAATTAAAATTCAATTATTTCCCAAAATTTTCAATTCAAAATGAACTGAATTTCAATTATTTTCCAAATTGAAAATCAAATAAAATTTCATTATTCTCAAAAATTTGATGTCAAAATTAATTGAATTTTCAATAATTTGAATTTAAAAGCATCTAAAATTTAATTATTTCTACAATTTACCATCGAAAATTTTTTTTTTTGAAATTTAATAATTTCAATTATAACTCTAAGGAAATTCAATTATTTTTAACTATTTTCATAATATTCTTTGAAATTTCAACTATCTGAAACTATTTTTCAATTAAAAATGATTTTCAAATTATTGTATTTTGTCCGCATTTTCTAATAAATTTTTAGTGAAATCATCTAAAATTTTAATTAAAAATCACTTAAAGTTTCAATTAATTTCAAAAATCTCAATTTTAAATCTTTGAAAATTCAATTAAATTTAAAAAATGTTTTCCAAAAATTGTTTGATAAATTATTTTTAGTTCTGTAAAATTTAATAATTGTTTGAAAATTAACAATATCTTTTAAAATTTAATTATTTCTAAAAATTTCAACTTTAACCATTCAAAAAGGATTATTATTAAAAAAAAATTTTTTTTTTTAAATCTGTAAAATATTTTTGTTAAAATAAAAAACAAATCCACTTTTTTTGGAATATAAATCGACTAAAACGACTTTTTGTGTCTTTAAGTTGATTCGAGGCCTGTGTTTTTATAATTAATATTTAATAGGTATTCGTTGGCCCCTGGTACCTTAAAAATTAATTTTTTTCAAATTACTATCTTGTACGAAATTTCCTGGCGTATCTTTTTTCTCATCATAAATTTTTTGTATTTGTATACAATTTTTGAATGAATATACAAGTTTAAAAAAAATTTCGTTGGTAAACGTTGTGTACTTCAGCTTCGTGAATTGAATTTTCGAATTTGGAATTTTAAAGAAACTTATGCCGAAATTTGGAAACACAATTATACAACTTTGGCAAAAATGAAAGAAAGAAATGTCAAAATGTGACACGTCATAAGATTACTATTCAAAAAAACACGTGAAATCAGAAAAGGCCAACTTTAAGTTAGGACAGAAGGACAGACCAAGCATTTTATTATTATATAATTTCTATATATAATTCACCTGGTAAATCCTTGACATTCAATGTTCCAACATAATTTAAAACAGAATCCTCCGTCAAATGAAATTGACCATCAGGTTTTGCTTTTTTAGTAGCAAGTCTTGCCTGTAATTTATTTGCTCCAAAACCCGTTGAAACTGGACATCCAGTTTTTTCTTTAATCTCCCTTCTAATAAATGTTGCAAATTTTGATGATGTAATATTTGCCTTAGAAAGAATTTTCGAACAATCCACATACATTTCATCACAACTAACAGCTTCAATGTCAAGTGTATATGAAGCAACAGTATCATAAAGTCCATAAGAAACTTCCTTGTAACCATCAAAATCATATTTTATTGTTTTTAAATTTGGACAAAGTTTTAACGCTTGACCCAAGAACATACCATTTTTTAAACCAAATTTTCTTGCCTCATACGAGCATGAGGCAATTTCTGAATAAGAACCTTCTTGATTTTCATTTGTTTTATTTCCCTTAGCATGTGTAACAGCAACTGGTTGATCTTTTAATTCAGGACGATTTCTAATGCCAACAGAAACAAAAAAACAATCCATATCAATGTGCATTATTATATTTTCTTGTAGATTTTCATTTGGACTCGAGTCAGTTGCAAATATATCATCATCAGAATCAGAATCGATTTTAGTCGATGGTCCAGGTCGATTCAATTTATTCTCCACTATTAATCGTTCGAGACCGGGAAAATGTCCCTTATTTTTTTCTCTCAATTCATTAATATAATCCTTAAATGTTGCACCCATTGTTGCAATATGATGTAAACGTGAATTATTATAAAATTCAGAGATAAAATCCGAATTTTTCGAACACATGGAAGATTTATTTTTCATTGCAATTTCTTTAGTAGAACTTTTCACATTAATTGATGATTTTGAAATTTCAGATATTTTATCATTTGATCTATTTGAAAATTCAGGATTTTCTTTTTCCATTGAATTTTCAATAATTGTCGATTGTAAATTGTCCGTTTCTGATTTTGAATTTTCAACTATTATTCTCAAAGAATCTTTACTATTTACATTTGGTGTTGAAGTTTGGGCAGATTGGAAATTTTTATTAGAAAATTCTTCCACATTTGAAAGTCTACTGTGAGAATTATTTTGAGAAATATCGTTTGAAATTGTTTTACAATCATTGTGAATTGAATTATTTTCATTCAATTGAAGGGAAGTTGATTTCAAAGAATTTGTACCGTTGACAATTGATTTATTTGGACTTGATTTGAAAATATTAAATAATTGAGGTTGTGATTTTGTATTTTGTGAATAGAGTAAATAGTTTCGAAAATCTAAAATTTTACCAGCTTTTATGCTATCAGTAATCCAAGTGGGTTTACAAAGTGGTAGTGGATTTTTACTTTTCATATACATAACTATTTTTGAATATGGCAAATTTGAGGCAATTAAATGTGTTGTTTGTTTAGATCTTAAATATTGATGATAAACACCACCGTGTTGTAACATTAATCGTCTTAGAACATCTGCCGTTGGTTCTGTATAACCATTTACAAATATTGCAACACCTTTAAATAATGTTGTTGATGTATTTTCATATTCTATTTTTGCATCCGTTTGAAATTGTTCTTCGAGTTTTGCTTTTTTTGCTTCCATATAGCCACCCTAAATTTATTTTTAAATTAGTAATTAGACAATTAAATTTTCTAATTAAAAATATTAATTACTTAAATCAGTTTAATTATTAAAAATTAATTTATTATTATTAAGGGAGAGGAACCAGTGAAATTTTAACCTTTTGAAATTTTTGTTGTTTTAGAAAATTTATTTAAAAAATTTAAGAATTCATTTAATTATTGAAATTTTTCAAAATTTTTTTTTTCGATTTTTTTATATGCTTTTTTCATGATTTTCAACAATTAAACATACGAATTTTGAAAAATTATTATTATAATAATAATATAATAATAATAATATAATAATAATAATAATTATTATTTTTTTAAATTAAAATTTTGAAGAATAAAAAAAAATTTGTAAAATAGTTAAAAATTACTTTTTTTTTTTATTTTTCACAGTGAAATGTAATTTCAGGTTCTGAAAAAGCGCCAAAAAGATTGTTTACCGGATTAATTTTGATTGATTTAAATTTTACTGGTGATTCTTTAAAAATTTAACTTCTTTCACAATTTTGATTATTTTTCATCGTCGAATTTTTTTTCGGCTTTTTTCATGATTTTGAACAATTAATTGTATGGATTTAAACAAAAATTTTTTTTTTTTGCAGAAAATAAAATTTCTAAAATGAACAAAAATAATTTTTTTTTTAAATCTTAATATTATTTAATTTTAGATTCTAAATAATACCAGAAAAACAAATTTACACCCCTTAACAATAATTTCGATAAGCTGAAGTTTTACTGGTCCCTTCTCTTAATTAACAAATTTTGTAATAGAACTCAGGAAAAATTTGTAATTCTTCCAAAAATTAGTTTATTCAAAATATTACGATAATAAAACTATTTTTTCTTACCCAACTTTCGAAGACATCCTCTGCCCATTGTTTTGTTTTTTTTGCCATTATTTTATTTTTCACATTAACACCTTTTTATTATAATTGGAATAATTTTTTATTCAACAATAGAATTATTTTATTCACATTGTTAGCATGATATTATCACTTGCTAATTTTAGTTACTTTTAGGTTAGGATACAATTTCTTCGATTTCTTTAAAATTCTTTTTAAATTTTGATTTTTAATTTAAGGTTTATAATTATTTAAAATAATTCTTTGCAAAGTAATAGAAAAATTTGTTTCATTAGTTATTGCATGCAATTATTATTCAAAAAATGTGTTTTTTTTTTTGCTTTGTTTTGACAGGTGTAAGCGGAATCTCGATCTGAAATAGTCGAATTAATATCTCGAAGAGGGCAATCGAAAAAACTCGAAATAAATGAATCCAATTGGTTAAAATAGCGCGCGCTTATTTTTAAATAATATAAAATTTAAGTTTATACATTTTTTAAAATAATAATTGTATCTCGTATCATAATTTTTTTTTTGAAAAATTTAATTTTTACTTTTTTTCCCCTCAGTTTCTTAATTTTGCGCTTAAAATTTTGTCTTCATTATTTTTTTTTCTTTTTAAATAAAAATTAAATCACAAATTTCTAAATTTTTCCAATTATTTGTTTTACTAATTTTTTAAATAAATTTTTGTCATAGAAAAATATAAGTATTAATAATCATTTATTTAAATTTAAATTTTATTGAATAAATAATTAATTTTTCAACACCGAAAAAAAATAATAAAGTAATTTAAAATTTTTTAATAATTATAAAATGAGACTTAAAATAATCAAAAATTAATTAATTCAAAAAAAAAAAACTTTGGAATGAAAATATAAATAATTTTATTGGAATTATAATTAAATTCTTGATATGTTTCTTCTATATTCTTTTTCTTTTTTATGTAAAAAAAGGACATTGCCCATTTAATTGATAAATAAATAAATAAAATTGAAAATAAAAGAATTGATAAATTTTGAATATTATTAATAAAATTTGTAAATAAAAAAAATTATCAACTTAAATGTAAAAAGATAAAAAAATAAAATTAATATATATTTCTAAATTTTTTAGTACAAATTTATAACAAATTATAAAAAAAAATTGTTTAGTTATCAAATATAATTTATTAAATAAAAATCATTTTAAAAAAATTTTATCAAAAATTAAATTTTAATGTCTAATAATTGAATATAAAAATTTCAAAATTATTAACTAAAAACAAAATAAAAATTATTTAATATTTTAATGAAAATTTATTTAAATTGTTGAATTAAAAATAAATTAAATTAATCAAATAATTTAAATATTTCTAAATTAACTGGAATAAAGTTTTTATTTCTTTTTCGTTTACCAAAAAAAAAAGTTTTTAAAAAAAGGGAAACAAGACAAGAAATTGTTATAATGGAAAAGAAGAACGACAAAATACAGTTGCATTAATTTTTAATTTAAAATATATAAACTGTACATATATTTATAGATAATATGTATTTATACTTTATATACTTTTTAGGTGATGTAGTAGTTTGTTGGTATGATAAATTAATTAGTGTGTGTATGAAGTAAATATACGCGTGGCAATTGAGCAGCGAAAAGAAAAATAATTTCCAATTTTTTTTCTATTATTTTGGAAAATTAATAAAAATCCTTTAATATCAATCACACTGCTCATATCAGCCGAATTATTATCTAAATTTCAAAAACAATCACTTATTAATATTATCGTACCCTACTCAGTCCATTCTAAAATGAACAATAAAATAAACTGTTCATTTATGTAAGTATATATATATATATATTTTTTTTTTCATAATAATAAAAGAATTCGTAAAAAAAGAAATTACTTATTCTTTTCTTTTCTATTATATATATATTTTTTTTTATGAGCGAACTTAAAAACCTTTTGGTTTTCTGGCATTATCACTTATAGAAAAAATAGGACATATAATTTTGTAGACTTCATTTTTTGATTATTACTACATTTGTTTGTTTGTTTGTTTTTTTTTCATTTTGTATTTATATAACAATAATAATTATTTTATATAATAAATTAAACTGTCGTTTGATATTAAACTATATTTAAAGAAAAAATCGCATTAAAGAAAACTTAAATCATGGATTATTAATAATTTTCTATGATAAGGCTCTAGTACGCCATTTTTCACCATGAATGAAAAAGAAAAAATGTATCAGTCTTTAAAAAGAAAATTTATACTGAAATATTTGTCAAAAGTCTAGGAATTTAATGTCCTATAAGAAAAACACTATTTAAGGGGAATTTCAAGATATTTAAAAATTTTACCACAAAAAAAAAGAATCTTATTTGTGATTTTCGATTTTATAAAAAATCGAGCTCTCATTCCCCTCATTGTTATTAAAAAAAAAAAAATAAATGAAAATGATAATCAACAAAAAAAAAAACTTATAATCAATAGACAGCCATAAAGTTATTTAAAAAAATTATATATATAATTTTGTAAAAAAAAAAAAAATTCTAAATATTTACAAACAGAACTATATAAAATTTCGCAGTACAATATAAGCATTATAATATGTAGAAACAAACTAAAACCTAGCAATTTTCTTTTTTAATCACACGAAAATAATTTTAATATACATTATTATTTGTATGCCATTAAAAATTTTTTTGACATTTATTTTTATATATAAAAAATAATAATTCAATTTTCCTTATATGTAATTATTACCAATCCACAATACTAAAAATGTAATCGTTCAAAAAAAAAAAAAAAAAAAAAAAAAAAAAAAAAAATTAACACGTGGACAATCTAAGCATATAGTTCATTTTTTTTGTTTTTTTTTTTCAATTTTTTAGAAAATTCGATTAATACTCATGGTGAAAAGATACACTGTCGCTTCTTATCCTAATGGTCACTTGGTTCCCTTACGTATGCAAATTTTTAATCATTTTTTTTTTTTTTTTTTTTTTGTTTTTTTGTCATTAATATATATGTAATTTAAGATTTTGAAAAACAATTATAATTTTTTCCCACCAAAAAATACATACAGTAAAAACTATTTTTAATTAACGAAAAATAAATTCAATAAAAAAAAAAAATGAGTAATTGAATAATATTTAACAATAAATAGAACGTTTTCAGACAAAAAAAATTGAATCTGTGAAAAACGATTATAATATAATATAATATAATATATGGAACATATTTGCAATAAGTTTTATCTGCTTGAAAAACATGTATATAAAAATCTCGTGATGAGGAGAATGTTCTTAATAAATATTTGACCTATAATTAAATTTCACTTTTATAACTCCAAAATGACCCGCAGATGAAAATGAATAGAATATACATAAATGTGCGTTTCTCTTGGTTCATCTTTAATACTGCAAGATCGTCCTTTTTGTTATTATTATGATGATTATTATTATTATAATATTATTATTAATAATTATTATAATTATTATTATTAGTTGAATCTTTGATTCAAATATATATATATATATTTATACGCAATTGATCTTTGCTCGCTCGTATTTTTTGTTGATTTCAGTTTTTAAGTCAATATCAAATTCTTGACGATGAATTTGAAATTTGAGTTGAACTAAGTTATAAATAACCTAATAAAGAGGTAAATTTCAGCTACCCTGATAGGGCATTTGATCGGGAAGAGAAGATGAATGATTTTGACTTGGACTTTGATGATGATAATGTGGACTGCTACCGTCTTGTGACATTTCGTTGACTACTGGTTCTTCATATTTACCCCTTTTAAAACGTCCATATAATGACGAATATGGTAAATTGTAGTGAATAGCGGCTTGGTTTATACTCATATGACCCAGTCTGAAATAATAAAGAAGAAGGAAAAAAATTTTAAACAATTTTATAAATTAAAATCTTATATTAATATTTATTTTCACGTTTTTTTTCCCCCTTTTTTTCTAGTTCTATTCTTTGGAGTTGCCATAAGAATAAATTTTGCAATTTCCCTGATATAAAAAAATTTTCCATGACAAATTATTTTTTTTTAATGAAATTTCATAAATTTTAAAAGAAATCTAATAAGGTTACTGCCCGTATAATGTAAATAAATAATTTGAAATGAAATAAACACATTTTTCTACTGTATTTACTTCATATTAAATTATTCGATTGAAAAAAATTCGAATATTGTCAACTTCGATATTTTTGTATCTTTTTAAAAATTTCGCAAATTTTCCCAAAAGAAATAGAAACCACAGAAAACTATTAATTCTGGAGAAGAAATAAAAATACATAAATATGAACATGAAGAAAATCGAAAATATTTATTAACAAAATTTTTAAATTTCGAACAGTTTGAAAAATCCCGGGATTTTTTTTTTGTAACCGTTTTTCAATGACGGGACAGGACTTAAAATTTTTGTAAAAGAAAATAGTTTTTTTTTTAATTTCTCAAAAAAATATCGAAGGATATAAACAATAATACAAACAACAAATTTTTAACTAAAATTCTTCACTAAATTAATTATTTTTAATAATTTTAATGAAATTCTTTACAAATTCAATTATTTAAAACTATTTTTCAATTAAAATTTTTATGGAATTTAATAATTGTTTATAATTTTAAAAAAAATTAGCAAATAAAATTAGCAAAAATTTTTAATTCAAAATCACTTGAAATTTAATTATTTGTAAAAATTTCAATTATTTTTAATGATTTTTATAATATTCTTCGAAAATTCAATTATCTGAAAGCATTTTTCAATTAAAAACTTTTGGAATTCAATTTTTTTTAATGTGATTCCTAATAAATTTTTCATCAACAGAAATCACTAGAAATTTCTCCTATTATAATTATTGTCTAAAATTTAACACAATCATTTGAAATTCAATTATTTCTAAAAAAATTCAATTTAAAAGCTTCTAAAATTCAATTATTTCTAAAATTTTCCATCTAAAATTTTCTGAAATTTAATAATTTCAATTATAACTCTCTCCTGAAATTCAATATTATTTTTAATGATTTTTATAATATTTTTTTCGAAAATTCAACTATCTGAAACCATTTTTCGCTTATAAACATATTTTTCTCTATAATTTATAACAGATCTCTACTTAGTTTTTTATAGAATAAAATTGCCCTGTTCCCTTCACGTTTTGTTTAATAAAAAATTGGTTTAATAAAACTTCTTTTGAATACAAATTTTTGTTTAATTAAAATTCAGTGAACTAGAGAATCTATCATAAAATAAAACTCGATTAAGTTTGAATTCATTTTAAACCATACTGGCAAATCCAATGAAATATTGAGAATTAACTTCACAATAAAATATTTTTTTCCCTTTGAAAAATAAAAAAATTCGTAGTTTTTTTTTAAATTAAAAAATTTTTTAAATTGTATAATTTAAAAAGTTTAAAAAAAAACTGAAATTACACAATTTGTAAAATTATAATGATAATGTAATAAAAATAATTTTTTTTTTGTTCAAAATTTTTAAAAAAATTCGTACCTATAATATTGAGATTTTATAATATTTTGGATTGTAAAATCAATTTAAAAAAATGTATAAAAATTCACTTTTATATTGAACTTTTCTAATTGACAAAAAAAAATAATAATAAAAATAGTCTCCGTTTCTCGACGAGAATTCTCTTCAATATGTATATGATATGAAAACTAGGAAATGTAAAATAACGAAAACATGATATTCAGTTCATTCAAAAAAGCAAAAGTCGAAAAACAATATCAAAAGTAAAAATGTAAAAACTCACCAGAAAGGATCAAATTTACATTTTTTTGTTTAGAAAAAAAAATAAAAAAAAAACCCAGCAATTACTCATTTTTAATGAAAATACAAATTTTTTTTCTTTGAATTATTTTATGAAATTGTTTTTGTATTTTTGTCAAACATTGATTTGTTCAAATTTTTTTCGGAATACACTCAAGCCTTGAAGTAAAAAAAAAAAGTTGCTTTAGTAGTTTTACATTATAAACAAAAGACAGAAAAATTATTCACTTCTTTTTTTAAAAATTCAAACGGCAATGGATTCTTTGGAAAATTTATCATCGTCTAGTGACATTTAAATATTTTTTTTTTTGTTGGTTTGCTGCCAAAAAATTTGGGTTTTAGCCGTGGAATCCCTCTTAAATTAGATCTTAATAAATAAGTAAATAAATAAATAATTAAAAAAATTCGCATTTAACACTATATAAACTGTTAATTGTTTTTTAAAAAAAGGTTAAAAAAGTAATTAATTTCAAGCTCTGAATATTAAAAACAAAAAAAAAAAACGTGTTTCCTATTTTTTTTCATAAAATTCGAATAAAATAAGTTTTAAATGAAAATTTCACAAAAAATACATTGAATTTTGCATCTTCAAGGTGTCTAGCACCTTTTCTAAATAAAATTCCAGAAGTTTTCCAGGTATACCAATTAAAAAAAATTTTAATGTAAAAAATACATTAAATGTACAAGATTAATTTTTTTAAAATCTTTTTTTTATTATAAACTAATAATGAATACATTTAATTTTTGGTATTTTTTGACCTTGGGTCGAATTTAGGAGAAGAAAAAAGATGTTTTAGTTGATTTACATTACAAGAAAAGTCAAAAAAGTCGATTTCTTATTTTTAATAAATTTAATTAGATAGTAAATATTTTATTCTTATTATCAAACAATTGTTATTAGAAATTAAATAAGTTGTATTAATTCTCTAATCTGATTTATGCAAATTATTCGAACTTCAAAGTTTAGAAAATGTTTTAAATAATTAAATTTTCAAAAAACTTAATTAAATTACTTTCGAAAAAAATGAATGTAGAAAATTTTTTTTAAAATAATTCAAATTTAAAAAAGCTGCTCTTAACATTTATAAAATTAATTGAATTTTTAGAGATTTTTAAATAAAATTTTTGTAAATTTGAATTGCTCAAGATTTTTTTATAAGCTTTTGATAATAATAATTGAATTATAGAGAATTTTAAATTGAAAAAATGTTTTTAAAAAATTGAATTTTCGAAAATGTTGATTAAATTTATTAAAAAAAAATCAATTTTCCAAAGAATTTTAGAAATAATTGAATTTTTGAAGATTTAAAGTTAAAATGTTTAGAAATCAATTGAATTTCAAGAGATTTTATATCAAAATTTTCATAAATTTTAAATGATTAATTTCTTTTTTTTAATTTAGACAATAATTGAATTTAAAAGAACTTTCGGTCAAAAAATATTTAAAATAATAAAGTTTTTAATGAACTTGATAAAAATTATTAAATATAATTAATTTTGCAAAGAATTCTAGTTAATATTCATTTAACAATTTAGTTTCGGAAGATGTAAATTTTATACTAAAAATGTTGTATTTTGTTTAAAAAATGTTTTATAAAAAGGGCAAAAATGTCACGTTTTATTAAATTAAGTTAAAAATAGTCTCATACATTGAAAAAAGTCGTACAATCAGAGACCTGAATTTTCCCTAAGAATATGTATCTAAAAACGTTTACGAATTTTGTGTTTTCAAACGCGATTGGAAAAAAAATTCTTAAACAAAATATAAAAATTCCAGAACCTAATGAAAAATTCAAGAATTTTTCTAGGTAAAAAATAAAATTCAAGGACTTTTCAAGATTTTTCAAGGAATTCCAAATCGCTAGACACCCTATAACTAGATAATTATAGAACAAAAAAATAAATAATTAAAATTTACCTAACAGCCTCAAGAGCTTCGGTCATGGCGTCCTCGCTCCATGGAGTTGGATTACTCCTGCTTAATTCAATTCCTTCTCTTTTACATCGTCCATAGAGTGTACCAGTTGGAATTCCAAATTCTGTCGACGCTCTTTGCACTGACGTTTGACCCGATCTAATTGCCTCCAATGCTCTATCAAGATCAGCCGGTGACCATGTTGTTGGACTTGCATTGAACGGTGCCGCAAGTCTAATACCTTCTCTCCTTGCAATTTTATACAAAGTACTCGATGGTATTCCAAATGCTTTTGATGCTTTATTCGCCGATATTGTCCCAGTTCTTAATGCTTCAAGGGCATTATTTAAACTCTCATCGCTCCACGATTTTGTTGGTCCATCTTTTTTAGGCGTATCAATTCCCAAACGATGTGCTCTTTGCCATAATGTTGTCGATGGTATACCGAATGTTGCTGTAAATAAATTACAACAAATTAATAAAATAAATCACAAAACAAAAATTAATAATATAATAAAAAAACACTGGAAATAAAAAATAGTATTGATTCAAGAAAACTCATATAATTGTCCGTATTTGATTCAATATTTTCTTAAGACAAGAAAATTTTACTACATTGTTTGAAAATTTTTAAAAATAAAGTAAAAAAAGACAAAAATTTTCAAAATAACAACAATTTTTTTTTCAATGTAAAAAAGTATTTAAAGAGAAATTGTAAATAATTAAAATAACAAAAATATAAACATCGGATTTAAAAATATCAATATTTATGTTTTTGTTCAATTTTTTTTTAATGTTGTGTAGTTTTGATACCGACTTTCTGTGTTTTAGAATTTTTTACACAGTTTTTAATAATTCTTTAGAATCTATCGCATGGATTTTCAAAAAATTTTATTTTTTAAAACAAAGAAAGAAAAAAATATGTTGAAATTTATTATTTTTTTTCTATTAAATATTGAATTACTTTTACAATTTTATTTATTTTGACTATTTTTTTTATTTATTTAATATTTTAACTATTTTTCATCGACAATTTTTTTACACGTTTTTTTAAATAATTCTTTAAAATCTCTCTTATGGATTTTCGAAAAATTTTATTATTAAAACAAAAAAAGAAAAAAAATGTATTGAAATTTATTAATCTTTCCTCTTAAATATTGAACTAATTTTATAATTTTATTTATTTTGACTATTTTTCGTCGTTAATTTTTTTACACGCGTTTTTTTAATAATTCTTTAAAATATCTCGTATAATTGTCAAAAACAATTTTTTTTTAATACATATTCTAAAATAGATAGTCAAATAATTAAGTTTTTCTTTTTTTTTGACCACTTTGTATGTTTTTTAAACCCAAATGATGAAAGAAAAAAAAACTTCAATTAAAATTTGAATGGGTCAAAATAAAAGTGAATCAAATACGGACAAGTACTTGGTTTTTTTTTTCTTTGAATCAATGCTACTTTTTTCAGTGTAGATTATGAATTTTTTTTTATTTACCAGATGCTTTTGTGAGGCTCATATCATGATTTCTCAATGCATCCAAAGCAGCATCCATATCCTCTTGTGTCCATGATTTCGAACCATGATGATGTGATCCCGATTGACCCGAATGTCCTCTCGAATTATTTTCACCAGAATCCGAATGGACGGAATTTCCAGAAGGCATAAGACCAAGAAGTTCAGGTGTTATCATCATCATATTGTCATTGTCACCTGCCGTTTTTGAACTCACACTCGCTCTATCCGACATGTGACTGTCAATGTCTATTGTATCCGACGAATCCATTGTGTGTAGGGTTTCAAATTTTATTTTCACACTGTCACAATTTTGGATTTCTGTTACAAAAAGAAAACAAATTTTTTAGTTCTTTTAATTTGTTTCAATTCCTTTGAAAAAAATTTTTTTTTTTATTTGATTCAAATCCTTTGGTATAAATAAAAAAAAATGAGTAAACGATTACTTAACTATTTTTAAATAAATATTTACTTAAACCAAATAATTAATAAATTATTAAATTAATTAAAATAATTAATTTGTATTAATTAAATAAAAGAAAAATATTTTTCACGCAGAAAAATCACAATTTTGGCCTAATAATTTTTCTTTTAAAAGTTGCATTGCAAAAAGTTTTCAGTCAAAAAGTTATAGAATAATTTGGTTTCATAAATAAAAGTTGAGAATTTAAAAAAAAATATTCACTAAAAAAAACCAATAAGAATATTATAAAATTAAAAAGGTCAAGAAATTTTTATCAAAATGTAATAATTTGCATAAAAAAATAGATTTTCTTCTAAATCGACGTCGGTGAAGTTCACAATGTTTATGATCAACGATTGAGATGAAAAAATAATTTTCTATATAAAAATTATTATTATTTTTGATTTAAAAAATTTTTTGCAACGTTTCTTGATCAATAATTTTTTGAAAAAAAAATTTATAGGCAAAAAATTAGTTATTTTTTGAATGAAAAAAAAAATATATTTTTTTTTCAATTGTTGATCATAAACATTGTAAACTTCACCCAAATCTAAATCGTTGATTATGAAAATTGTAAACGAACGTCGTATAATTTTTGTGTTTGAATATCATTTATTTAATTTTATGACTACAAAGAAAAACAATTGAAAAAAATATTTTTAAAAAAATTAAAGATTTCAGAGAGACGAAATTGAATTTTCTCTTCAGAACTTTATTCTATAAAAAAAAACGAACAAACAAAACAGGAAATTTTTGAATTTACAATAACAAAACTTTTACAAAACTTTACATAATATAATATTAAAAAAAAAAAAAAAATTATTGATTTTATTAATTAAAGGTATTAAATCATATACCAATGAAAAAACAGACTAAAGAAGAAATTTATTTATTTAAATTAAATAAATTGTATTTGAATAAATAATTTCTGTATTTGAAACAAATACCATTTAATTGAACTCAAATAATAAATTATTTAATACAAATAAATATTAATTTGACATCGATGAAGTTTACAATGTTTATGATCAACGATTTAAATTCTTTTTGTGCAAATTAATATATATTTTTAATTCTAAAAAAACTTTTTGCAAAGATTTTCGTGCAATTTTTGCAACTCGATCAAGAACTATTTAAAAGGAAAAATTTGTAAGTAAATAGTTAATTATTTTCCAAATGAAAAAAAAAATATTTTTTAATATATGTGACTTGGACAGTAAATAGGGAACTTACGTCCGAAAAAATCGGGGGGTTTTTTTTTTGTAATTCATTCTATTCGAAAGAATAAATTTTCTATATAAAAACATAGAAAAAATAAAAATCGATTTTTTCGAACGTTAGATCCTTTTTAACTATTCAAGTCACATATACATTATTTTCATTTCTGTGATTATTTTTTCAAAAATTCAGAGAAAAAAATAATTTCGTTCTTTTTTAACGTTTAGATCTTCAGGCACATGATAATAGTCAAGTAAACGATTATTTGAATTAAATAAATTTTTTTTCCATTGTATTGAGATCACTACCAAAAAAAAAAAATTTGCAACAATTGTAAATAATAATGAATAAAAATAGAAAAAAATAAGGAAATCACTAAATTGAAACGTTATTCACTCCTATTGCTGATATATACCTGGCCGGAGCTTTCAAAGACCAATGAAAAGCTCCGGTAAACACTAATTTCTATTGCTTGCAGATGCTAAATGAGGCTGCGTGGGCAGAGGAACGAATAGAGTAGAGCGCAAATCTAATCACAAGTAGTTAAGCCCGATTAGGCCAATTATTTTGATTCCCTCACAGACTAATGAGGTAGTGACTGCTCTCTTTTTTTTTTTCTTCTCTTTATTTGTATCGAAGGATATTGGAAGGATAGTAATTTATTAAATTAATAAAAAAAAAAAAAAGAAAACACACCTGCAGATTGATGATCTGAATCCCTGAGATGTGTGATTGTTGTGCCAACCAAGGTAGCACTAGGTGGTGTTGGTTGTGTCTCTGGAGGTAAATCAACTTCACCAGGATCAGGATGATGATGTCCGTAATGACCTAAACCTGTATGACAAAACATGTCACCTTTTTTTCATTAAAAGTGTAAACAATCAGTTCATATTCAATATAAAAATATTTTTCGCCCCACATCTGGAACTTTGTTTAAAAAAAAAATCAAAAAAAAAAAAAAAAAAAAAATGTTTAAAAAGAAAATAATCGTTTTTTAAACAAAGAAATTGTAAAATTATTTTTTTCACACCTATCACTGAATTTGTTTTTTCATTTCTTTATTTATTTTTACATTTTTTCTCGTAAGTAAAATGATATTTTTCTGCTCTAATTTTTTAAATAAATGAATCTTTTTTTAATTTCTAGAACCGAGCGACAAAAATTTATTCAAAAAAAAAAAAAAATTACCCTGAAATGTTTCCAAAGAATTTGACGACAATGAATTTTCAATATTTTGCACATTAACACGTGGTTCATATTTTAAATCTAATTTTGTTAATTCACGATAATTTTCAAATTCCTCAAGTTCTTCTTTTATGAAAAATTCATTTTTAACCAATGTCGGATAACTTTCTAAAGAACTGGATGATAGAGAATTATCGATTAATTGCGATTCATTAATATCACTGTTCACATATTTAAATTCACGTTCAACATATGATCGTGGCTCATATTTAAAATCTAATTTTGTTAATTCACGATAATTATCAAACTCCTCTTCTTCTTCTTCAGTTTCATTCACTATTATTTCACGTTTAACCAATGTAAATGGCCTATTAATATTTGTCATACCGAAAAATGAATTTGTTTCCTGAAGTTGTACTCTTATACGAGCATAATCATCATCATTATTATCATCATCATAATAATTGACAGCGAGGGAATTTTCAAATGATTTATCTAAAAATTTTCTCTTTCCACTTCTATTTCGTTGAATTTTTTCTTTTGATTCATTATTATCCGATGACAATAAATCCTTATAAGTGTCAATCATTGTTCACTATTTTAAACCACTCAATTTTTTTTCTAACATTATATGAATAAAAATTTTTTGTAAAATAATTTTGATAACAAAAAATTACACTAATTTTTTTTTTATCGGCACAAAATAATTTTTTCATAACCTTACTTTTTTTTTTGGAGATTTTGTTTTGAAAAAAAGTGTATTTTAAGTAGAAAAAAAATTTTTTTTTTTAATCTTCTCAACACAAATGAAACACTAATAAACTTTTACTCGGATCATATAATACATAGGCTTTGGATTGAAAACAAAATTCATGGAGGCTGATCGCGTACTCCATTTGCATTTTTCGGCATTTATACGGTCTTCAAGGTTGTTCGATTTAATTGTTAAATTCACCATTTAACCGACGCGTACATTTTTTATTCAACTATGTAACAATTAAATTTACACTTGCTGTATTCATTTTTGTTATTCTTTTTTTTTAGAATAATAATCATGTTGTTGATGCCCGCGTCAAGCGAAGCAAACGGGAGGAAACTAACCTAAAGCCAAGAGAGACGATCACACAAGCAAAAAAAAAAAACCAACCTAACGCGAAACGAGATGCGCGATCAGTGTTGCCAATTTTGTAAAATTGGCTCGATTCTCAATTTAAAAATTGTAAAAAAAAATGTTCAATTTATAATTTGAATTTTAATTATCCTTTCCTTTTTTGAATATTAATAAATATTAAGTTGAATTTTATTTTGTATTTAACGTTGAATAATATTTGTAAAATATATTTTTATTAATTCTATTAGAGAGTGAAAAAAATATTTTTCGGAATATGTAAATTTTTTATCATATTTTTAAAAAAAGAACCTATATCAAACTTCTTTTACAGTTTCTCTTTTTTTTTTTGCAAATTTTAAAGAAACTGCACTTACCTTTGTTACATTTTCTTTTGTATGACAAAAAAAAATATATTCCAGTTGTTGACGTATTATATTTTTATTTTTTTTCATAAAAGAATATTTTTTTTATAATGTTAGAGAATTATAAAGAACAAAGAGAATTTTTTAGGGATTTTTAATTTGCTTAAAAATTAAAAAACTGGAAATTATAAATAAAACATGGTTATAATGTATGATTTGAAAAGAGATAAAAGAACGTTCTTTTTGAAAATAATTTACAATATTATTTTAATTACATTTAATTAATTTTTGATAGAATATAATATAAAGAAAATTTATTCTTACTTTTTAATAATAATTATATCACAGAAATAGCTAATGTTTCATAAATAAAAAATTAGTAAATAAAAAATAACCAAATGGAAAATTACTAATTAAAAAATTAGTAAATAAAAAGTTAACAAATGGAAAATTAGTAAATAAAATGTTACGAAATGGAAAATTACTAAATAAAAAATTAGTAAATAATAAGTTACCAAATGGAAAATTACTAAATAAAAAGTTAACAAAAAAAAAAGTTATCAATTAGAAAATTACTAATTAAAAAATTACCAAATAAAAAATTATCAAACGGAAAATTACTAAATAAAAAATTTTTAAATAAAAAAATTACCAAATGGAAAAATACTAAATAAAAAGTTATCAAATAAAAAATTATCAATTAGAAAATTACTAATTAAAAAATTACCAAATAAAAAATTATCAAACGGAAAATTACTAAATAAAAAATTTCTAAATAAAAAAATGACTAAATAAAAAATGACTAAATAAAAAATGACTAAATAAAAAATTACAAAATGAAAAATGACTAAATAAAAAATTAGTAAATAAATAGTTACCAAATGGAAAATTACTAAATAAAAAATTACAAAATGGAAAATTAGTAAATAAAAAGTTACCGAATGGAAAATTACTAAATAAAAAATTACCAAATAAAAAATTATCAATTAGAAAATTACCAATTAAAAAATTACAAAATAAAAAATGACTAAATAAAAAATTACAAAATGGAAGATGACTAAACAAAAAATTAGTAAATAAAAAGTTACCAAATGGAAAATTACTAAATAAAAAATTAATAAATAGAATACTATAAAAAAATCACTAAATAGAAAATTACAAAATAGAAAATGACTAAATAAAAATTTTTCTCAATAAAAAATTACTAACTAAAAATTTCTAAATAAAAATCTACCAAATAGAAAATTACTAAAAACTTACTAAATAAAAAAATTAATAAATAATAAAATTACAAATAAAATAACGAAAAAAAAAAATTATATTTGATTGCTGAAAAAGAAATATAATTGAGAAAAGAAAAAGTGAAAGGATCGAAATTTGAGATTGTTGATAAAAAAAAGAATAAAAAAAAACAAGAAAGAAAGAGCAAGGGCCATGAAAGATTCCAGTTGTGGGGCGCAAATAACCTGGATGATCGACTTACCGTTGTTGTTGTTTGTAGTACTGTTACCGTTGTTATTGTCGCGTTGGCAGGATTCCAGGACTACTGCTGATGCAGCCTCCGCACACTCCTCATCTTCGGTCTGCCAACAGTCCCTGTGATTCTGCGGGAACATCCGGTCCAAATTTAGCTTTCGAGTCTAAAGTGAAGAGAAGCCGTTTTGCCACCGCGTTTATGTCGGTGTAACGACTGAATCTTGTCTACTCTTTTTCCCTTCTATAGTTATCATCTCTCTTTTTTTTTTTTTTTTACTAACACCTAATATTTCTTTTTATCTTTCTATATGTGTGAACATTCAAAAATTTTTTTCTCCTTTTTGTTAAAAATAATTTTTTCCGATATGAAAATGAAAAAATTTATGAAAAAAAAAAATTAAATATTTCTATTCAATATATTTTTAATTTATTATTAATTGCCTGTTTACTTATTAAATAAATATAATAATAATATTGATAATAATAATAATTAATTAATAATTAAAAAAATATGAAATGTTTGTTAATTAACAAATTATTAAAATACCAATTTTCATTTCTATTTTTTATATCATAATAAAGAAGGAAAAAAATGAGCAGACTAATATTTACTCTAAACATTCATTCTCTCTGTTTCAAGATAAATTTATCCATTTTAAGGGCAATTTTTCTGCAGCGTGTTTACTAATGTATAATTATTTATATATAATTAAATTATGAATAATTTAAATAAATAATAATCACAGTTTCCAAAAAAATATTTTCTATATATTTTCTTAAAACTTAAAACAAAACAAAACCTTTTCTATAATGAAATTGGTTTTATAAAAAAGAAATTTTCTATTAGCTTTTAATTTCTAAAATAAAAAATAATTCAATTTTTTCAAAAAATAAAATAAAAAAACTCTAAAATTGGCAAAAATAATTTTTCTTAAATTTTTCGTAATGAAATATGTTTTTAGATTTTAAAGAATGTCAAAAAAGAATTAAAATCTCTATAAATAAGAGAAATTTTAATTAGTTGGAATTTTACTGGCAAATTTTTTTGAAATTTAACTTCCACAATTTTTATAAGTTTTTCATGGTCAACTTTTTTTTTTATTGTATTTATTTTATAAAAGATAAATTTAAAAACGCGCAACATTTTGGAAAGTAATAATTTGAAATTAAACTTTATATTAAAAATAAAAAAAAGCAGCATTTTGGAAAGTAATAATTTGAAATTAAACTTTATATTAAAAAAAAAATGAAAGAAAAATTTAGAAAGAAAAAATTAGAAAATATTTTTTAGGAAAATTAAAGGTATATTCCAATCGAATATTTTTTGTTGAATTTTAAATTTTCTTTAAAGAAATATTTTCATATTTCCAAATCAAGATAAAATTTATATAATTTTTAGAATTTTAATAAAACTTTTAAGATTTTATAAAACTTTTTTTTTTAGTAATTAGACACTCTGCTAGTTTTGTTTACGAACCTAAATTTATAACATTATAAATTAAAATACGTCAGAAATAATTAAAAAATTTCAAAAATTATACAAATATAAAATGTTATTAATTTAATAATTTACACTCTCTATTTTTGCAAATATTATAATAGTTATAAAACGGTTTTAGTCATTTTGAACAATTTTTAGTTTTTTGTTTACAATATTTATTTATATTTGAAATAAATCAATTTTTTTATTATTATTTAATTTTATAACATTTTAAAAAAATAATAAAATATTAAAGAAATAAATTTAAAATACCTAATGTAAATAAAAAAATTATAAAAAATAAATTTTCTAAATAGTTAAATAAATAAAATATTTATGTAGATCAAAGAAAAATTGTATTTGCTTATAATTTTATTTAGTTATAATAAAAAAAAATTTTTTTGCCTTCTGCATAGTTAGTACTCGTAAGTAGTAGTGGCATTCAAGTGAGACTTTGCGCATGTCTCACATGATTGCCACTTACTACTTGCAATTACTAGCGAGACGATATATTTTTTTTCATTTGCTTCAAAAACAAAAAATTATACATTGATTCAAAATAATTAAAAATGAATTCAAATATTATTTTTTATATTTTTTTAGATCGTCATTTATAAAAAATTTTTTGAAAATATTTATATGAAAAATATGTGAAAAAAAAAATTTTTAATATATGAAAAAAATTAGTTTCGGAGTCGAAAATTTTATTAAAATCCAATGAACCGTTTTGTAACTACAATTAATATTTGAAAAAAAGATTAATAAAAAAAAATTTAATATGCATGGTTTATTTTTGTAAATTTTTGATAATTTTATTTTTTTTACACCCACAGAAATATTTTATTTTCCTTTATTTGAGACAAATAACATTTTTTTTAATCAAATAAACAATTATATTTGTTTCAGAGGCTAATAAATTTTTATTTGTTTTAAATAAAAAATTTAATTACAAATAAAATTTTATTTTATTTATTTATTTAGTTTCATATGTATGACCTTTCGGCCTTTTACATTTTCCATACATAAATGGTTTTCTTGATTTTTAACAAAATTATCTTAAATAATTTATTTTTTTTATTCTTGTAAAATAAATGAATATGTATCAAAGAATAATTAATAATAATTTTATTTGAAACAAATAATTTTGTCTCTGAGAGACAAATATATTTCTAAGTGTAAAATTAAATTAAAAATTTAAACTAAAAATTTTCTTTAAAATTTAAAAACATTTTAGTATTTTTAAATGTTTTACTCAACATTTTGCAATTTTATCAATTTTCAGAGATAAATCCAAACACCACCAAATTTTGATATTTCTGACGTATTTTTTTATATACCTAAATATTATTTATTCCTATTGTGTAATTATTTAAACAAAAGCTTCAAAAATTCGTTATATTTTTACAATAAAAATTGAAAAAAAATTATAATCTTCACTTTGGATTTCGAAAAATATATAAAAATTAAAACCGCAATGCGTGGGTATATAATAAATATTAATATATAAAAATAAAAAAAAAAAATTTATTTGATTCAAATAATCGGATACTTGACTATTATCAAATAAATATTAATTTGCATCAAATAATTATTATTTGAATCAATTAAATCGTATTTGTTTTAAATAAAGAAATTATTTGATTCAAGTAAATATTTATTTGATAATAGTCAAGTATCCGATTATTTTGAATCAAATAAATTTAAAAAAAAAAAAATTTTTTTTTTAATAAAATATATTTTTATAATCTTTACTTTAGATTACAAAAAATATAATAAAAATTTTATACTGCCCCTACAATGGAGAAAAATACGTAAGTGTCATTTACGTATGTTTCTCCATTGTAGGGGCAGTATAAAAATAAATAATAAAAAAAATAATTTTTTAAAACTTCAGATTATAATTTAAATAAAAAAAAAATGGTATAATCTTGGGATTATAAAAAAAAAGAAAAAAATGCAACATTATGGATTTTGAGAATAGAAATAAAATTGAAAAAGCCCTTTTGCAATTATTGTTGAATTGCGTCGCTATTCAGAGATATATTGAAGTAGATGCCAAACCTCTTTGTCGCGCTCAAAATCTCCTTCTGCGTCCTCCTCCTTGTATAAGTCTTGATGCCTGGAATCCGAGTTGCGAGTCTCGAAAGTGGTTCTTGGCCTCTTGTACCTTGGATGATGCCTCTTTAGCTTTGTATAGTTTAGTCTGGTGGTGCTGGATTCTCGCGGTGGTGAGCTGAGGCTAACCGAAGGCGGTCCCTCTCTGCTCTCTGGGACCTCACAGAGGCCCTTGATTTTCAACTGATCAGCCGTCTTCAGCAAGGACTAGAAAAAAAAAGAAACAAAATTCAATTTTTTTTTTTTTTTTTTCTTTCTTTCATTCTAAACGTTCGTTCAACTTCTGATACATATACTTAAAATAATAAGTAAAAGGGAAAAGCATTATATCAAAATTCTATAACCACTCATAAATTTTTAGTGACCAAAATAATTTCTTTTTTTTTTCATTTTTTTAAAAGATTTACTATAGCAAAGTTAGTAATTATATTGTGAATATTCATTGGATATAGAAAGATTTAAAAAGAATATAATTTTTATTCTCTTTCGTAGTTTTTTTTTTTTAAATAACATAAAATTTTATAATGAGGTGATTATTATGAGTAAATTTTTAAAAATTTCCAAACAAATTTATCAGTTGTTTTTTGGAACAAAAAAATAAATATTCCCTAAAATTTACGAGTCCAAATTTTTAGTGTTTCGAAAAGTCGAATTTCTTTATTTACAGAAAGGACTAGTGAAATTTTAAGCTTTCAAAATTTAAGTTGATAAATTACGGCAATTTTTTTCAGCTATTTTTAAAAATTTTTAATTATTGAAGTTTAAAAAAAAATATTTATTTTTGTCAATTTTGAAATTGTAATTTAAAACTTTTTAAAACTCGTACAATTTATTGTTCAGAACCATAAAAAAAGTAGGGTAAATGTCCCAATTACTGTTATGTACAACTCAAGATCGACTTTAATGATAAAATAATAAAAGTGTATATCATTTAATTCTTTTTGTTAAATGACTATTAGTATCTATTGAAATCAAAGAAAATTAAAAGGCATTAAAATAAGCTGCAACGCTTATTATTTTAATCCAATTTTGCTTATTTTATAATACCAAAATGGATTAAAATAAGCAAAATTGGATTAAAATAATAAGCGTTGCAGCTTATTTTAATGCCTTTTAATTTTCAGTGATAGAAACGATACTTTAAACTTGAAAAAAACAAATATATAATATTAACTTTTTTAAAAATTGCATATGCTGGTATTACTGCAGGTTTGCATGAATTACTGCGCATCGTTTGCACCCATTACTGCAGCGCTAAAAGCGTTGATTTAGAGGTTAGGTTGATTGTATAGACTACATCAGTAATAGCAGCATGAGAAAAATATATAGATTCAATTGTAACTTGAATAAATAATTTGATAATAGTCGAAATATGCATCTTTAGTGATAATATATCAAATATCATTTGAAATAATTATTAAAGTCATTTTGAAACAATTTTATTTTCTCAATTAGTACAAAGTTTTACTAATTTTATAGAAATCGCAGTAATTGGGGCATCAGCAGTAATATATATTTAATATAATAACAATAATATATAATATATATATTTAAACTACTATTTAAGTAACATGATATTTATTAATATTATCACAATTTTTATTATTCAGATTTAATGTACAAAAAAAGTTGTACCAAAATATCTTGATAACTATCGAACAAAAGTCGAATTTTTAAATTAAAATAAGAAAAAAAAATTAATTTGGCTTACAAAAGCATCTATATATCAATATGTTTATTTTATGAAAATCACCTTATATTATTGTTCCACATATTTTGGAAAATTTACTTTAATTACAATATACACTTGCAAAACATTTATTTATTGTAAATGTTTGCAACTATCATAAGAACATATATATATGAATCAGAAACAAACATAACCTATTGTCGGGTGGTACGAAGACAAACACAATCGAGATTTTGGGACGAAAAAAAAAAACTCTCGAAGAAAATATAACCAAAAATACAGTTTTCATTTTAAGTTTTCTGTACAAATAAAAAATTTTTATCGAAGTTTCTCTTTCGTGTTGTAATATTTATTTAAAAATTAAATATAAACAAATTAGATTTTTAAAATAAAAATTCATTTTCCAATTTAAAAATCAGGAGTATTATGGCGCACTCACACCTTTTTTGCTGCCTGCCTGCCTGCCTGCAGGTTACCATGGCAACGCACGAGTGTGAGTGAGACAGAAAATTTGAATATTCAATTTTTTAAATTTTCTGTCGCACTCACTCTCATGCGTTGCCATGGTAACCCGCAGGCAGCCAAAATGTATATCATTATTGTTATTATTTTTTTCTAACATATAGGTATAATCTATTATTATTATCATCAATTTAATATTTATTAATTAATTATGTAATATATTATTTATTTTTGTTATTATTATTATCATTAAATTATATTATTAACTATCTATGATATACCTATACATAAATATTTTTAGAAAAATTTAGCGAAATTTTTTTGTACTTTTTTATGATAAAAATTTGAATTGGGAAAAAAGTACAAAAAAAATTCGATTCATTTTTTTAAAATATACAGATGCAATACATTCATAGATAATTAATTAATAATAATTTATTGAAAATAGTGATAATAATAATAAATAATATAATAATTAATTAATAAATATTATATTCATGACAATAATAATAGATTATAAATATTTTATTTAAAAAATTATGACAATAATGATAGAAATGTAATAAAATTATTATTATTATTATTATACACTTAAGTATATTAAGGAAATTAGTATTTTTTTTATTAGGAAGCAATATAATTAACAAAAAAAAAAAATTTAATAGTGAAAATATTTTTATATTGCTTTATTAACGATTTCTTATTATTAAGCATTTTATATTGGGATCAGAAATCACGCGAAACTGACCCACCCCTGAGCCTTCTTGTGACAACCATCTTGGTTTTTTATCTCTTTCTTTTGTATATGTTAGAGAAACACGGAATGAAAACATGGCCACCACAACAAGGCTCTCACCAGATGGCGTATCGCAGTATTTCAGATCCCAATAAGCGCGCTTTTTTCGACCTATAAGAGAGTTGTCGTAGCGCAAGCGCAGTAGCGTTTAGGTAGGGATATTGGCAACTCTGGTTACCATGGCAACTTATGAAAGTAAGTGCGACAGAAAATTTCAATATTCAAATTTTCTGTCTCACTCTCACCCGTGCGTTGCCATGGTAACCTGCAGGCAGCCAAAAAGGTGTGAGTGCGCCTTAAGGAGACTGAACGACCATGTTAAATCTGCGTTAAAAATGGTACCCGCTTAAGGCCAACGCAGAATAGGAATGTAACCGGAATCGTAATCGCAAACGCAACCGGAAGAATGAGTTAGAGAAGGATAGACATATTGTTTGTCCTTCTCTAACTCATTCTTCCGGTTGCGATTACGATTCCGGTTACGTTTTTATTCTGCTCAGGCCTTTAGGCTTCAGTCCCATGGCAGTGTTTTGCGTTGCGTTTTGTCACTAGACCATGAGTGTAAAAGAGATGCAGATATATGTTTGCTATGTTTACACTCATGGTCTAGTGACAAAACGCAACGCAAAACGCGGCCATGGGACTGCAGCCTTAGTGTCATGAATATACGGAATGGAACACTAGCGCCACTGATTGTGTCAAACTCAGCTGGACAGTCAGTCATTATAAAAATTTTAAAAATAAGGAGCAATGTATTTTTGGGTTATGTTCAACGTACTTCCAATTTTTCCCGCTGTTTACATACTTCCCACGAAAGCCCATTGTGTTCCATTCCGTATTTTCATGACACTAACAATAAGCGGGTACCAAAATTTGGTCCACTTTTAATGTACGTCGTTCGGTCTCCTTATACTACTCCATGGTTTTAATGCAAAGTTATTTTAGTAGTGTTTTTTTTTCGTAACACTTGTCGCTATATTGAATTGAGATCACCTAATTTGCCCAGGCCAAAATATCGCGCGCTTTTTTGAAATAATTAAATTTACTAAAATAATTGTAATAAATTATTAAACATAAATTGAATTGAATGGACAAAGAATAAAAGCTCGACGAAAGAAGGGACTTTAGAGGCAAAAAAAAAATTTAGGTTATGTTTGAAATTATTGAATTGAAAATAAACAAAGAGAATCAACTCTTAAATACAAATCACTGATATTTATGTCTAAATTAGATTCAATATACAAATTGATTTTAGTTTATTAAAAATAAACGCGTTTAATCAAACAAAAACTATCACTAAACATAACCTAAATTTTTTTTTTGACTCTAAGGTCCCTTTTCTCGTAGAGCCTCACTTTTGAGGAAGTAAAAAGAAAAAAAATATAGGTAAGTATGTAAAGGTGAAGAAAAGAGGAAAAATAAAAGAAGAAAGACAGAAGAGGGAAAGAGAGAGAGAGAGTGAAAAAAAATATTGGAAACGTGGTGCCAAGCAGGCAGGCAGCTATCCTTGCCGAAGTTGGGTGCTCTGTTCTTTAATCAACCCAAGGGTGGCGCGATTAGGCGGGGTTGTGAGGATGGGTGATGGCGATGCCGTATAGCTATATAGTATGAGTAGGGCTGAGTTGAGGGGTTTGGGGGCAGCAGAATAGGGGATGGGGGGAGGGAGGGAAGCTTGGTCTGGTGTCGGGGGTGGAGAAGGCAAAAACGCCCGCAGGAAGAATAGGGGAAGCTTCCGACGCGGTTGTCGCGGCCCCAGGGCCGTATCGACCATTCCCCCCCCACCCTCCACCCTCAAACTCCGATTTATCCTCGTCTCTCTCGCTCTTTAGTTTTACTCCACACTCACCATTACACTATACCTACACGATTTTCCATCAGTCCTCCACTTTCGCATGTTCGCGAATATTTCTCCCAGTTGGAGGATTTGCTAAGTCCGGAAACGATTCATCGACATTTCGGGCAGTGAGCACTCGTATATATATATATTCTATATATATACAACGTACTCACAATATTCTTTTTTTCACAATATTTAATACTTGATTTAAAATATAAAAAAAAATGTTTAATAAATAATTTTTGGGAATTATAATTAATTATAAATATTAATTTTAACGACCAATAACAATACAATACATTTTTAATGAAAAATTTGTTGGATTTAAACTTAAGGGTTAGTTTACAATTAACGAATTTAAATTTCCACTGGAAGTCAAGTAGAACGTTCGAAATATGACATATCTTTATATTTTTGACACC